CTACTTGAGTAACTTCATTATTGAAGTAGTGTATTTTTCAGTATGACAGTGATGATCTGAAAATCAGTAAATTGTCCGACAGAGTTTAGGTTCTCGGCGTACTGGTAATCGAAGGATTACTTTTTGTCATTATTTTCTGTAGTGAAAAGCAATTGCTGGTCTATTACCTGCAGAGATGAGAGGTCAGGATCACATATCTTGGTGTTTCAGCACATTCTTGGTCACTTCTGGAATCTTCAATAGTTTTTTAAACTTTTTAATTCACAAATTTAGCCATGAATGATGGTCAAAATATTGTTTAGTGGGATTATTTTTGCAATGTGAACACAATATGGCTGTATTCTATTCTGTATTCTATTTGTACAAACTTTTACTATAACAAAAATTGTTACGTTACCTAAATAATGGTCAAAGATTTCTCGTTAGATTTCTCGACTTTTGGACATTGGATTAAAAATGGATAAATTAAAACTGAAACCGTTTTAAATCTAGAATGTATATGTAAAATTCATCAACCACTTAAAATGAAGAATCCTTGTACAATCTATTAAAAACAATTTGTTTTATAGTTGAGCTTCAAAATTTTAATTGTGACTAGGAAATAATTGTGGACCAATTATTAATTAAGTTATTTTTTACCTTCAAGTCATTGCGATAAATACAGCACAGATCAAATACAAACCTCTTCTCAGCCAACTGTAAAGATTCTCGGGTGAATTAGTCTCATTCAAGCTCTTAGTTGGTGCATGTTATGCAGAATGCAAAACATCTCAAAATTTACAACTATTTTCCAGTGTCATTCAACCCATTGAAAGTGTACGTTGTAGAAACTGGAAATGTCATTCTAGTGCAGTAGAGAGTGCTCTTTTGAGCTTCCCATAAATGTGCTACCTCTTTCTCAACATATTCACCATTCAAAATGCAAAGCATTTTAATACTTGAGAGCAAAAATTAGCATCCAGGTTAAAAATAGATATTTCAATAAAGAATTGTTACGAGAAGACATTTAAAATGTGTTAAATTACAAATGTGTCCTGACCTTCAGCTCACACTTGCAAATAATGAGATTGTTAAAGGAGGATGGAACACTTGTGGGACGTAAGACAGACTCTTAGCATTTCTACTTTGCTATTTGAAGAAGAAAACTCAAAGAAAAGCTTTAAATAGTGCCTTCCCCAAATTGATCATTGTGATCAATACACTAGTGGAACTGCTCCATCCCACCCTGGATACAGATATATAGGTCGAAGACCACTGTAGAGCTGTGTGACATCACATGTGCCAAACCTCTGATGTGGCGGTTGTTTGAAGTGCAAATGGGAGCCACAGTTTGGAACCAGACCTGGGCGCTTACGGGTGAGTCAGAGTTGAATGTGCCACTTGCCAGTGAGTATGAAGACTTTGGGGCAACAAATTTGTGAATGGATGGTTAGAGGATTGTGCAGCTGCACATCCACTGGTGCCTCCTATGCTATCACTCCAGAGCGCTTCCTTCAATTCCTTCAATGAAGCGCTTAATGGGCAGAGGATGATTTCTTCAACCTGCAGGTTGAGCCTTGGCAATCTTCTGACAATGGGGCAACAGATGATCAACTTGAATCAAGTCTTCTCCCCATACTTTAGCATTGCTGGCTGAGGTCACTATCATGGTGGAGAAGACCAGAAACAACAAAACCACTGAGCTGTTGTGTGAAGCATGACTTTCTCTGAACTGATACAGAAACACTCGATTGAGTAAACTACGCTGGACACAGAATATGCCTTTCCTATATTTTCAACACAAAAAAAACCCTAACAGACTGGTATAATAATAAGGTTATGATGCCAAAGCTCAGCTACCTGAGTTTTAGCCCTTTAGAGTCTTTGCCAATTCCTCGATGATGCTGCCAATCAAAAGTGTGTTTGATTGGCAGCATCATCGAGGAATTAGCAAAGTGGGACCACTTTGTGTTTTTGTCTGTTTAAAATAACTAATAGGAAGTAAACCATTTTAGAAATTGACTTATGGGCAGCAAGTTGCGTAGCTTTCCTCTTCAAACCTATACTGCTCGTAATCCGCTCTTTAAAGCAATGATTATAAGCAGATTGGGGTGAGCTAATTTTTTTCCATAGGGTTCAAATAGCTGATTGACTCTTTTATAAGATAAAAAAAAACTTTGTTTACACAATCAGAGGCAGAATATCCCAGCTTTTCACTTCTGATTCAGACCCTGTGTGTTCCACAACTTCATGTTGAGAGAGGTGTTTTGGCAAACGTTAGGCATAGAAATAATAACCCCTTCTTTTCACTTAAAAGTATTTTCTAGAAAATCTTAAATTCACTCCCAGGAAAGTTTTTTGTACATCAAGACTAAATATTCAGCACTTGTTCACTCTGGGAGTCTTTGTGCTTCAGGATGTTTCCACTTGAAACTTCTGAAATAACTTGTTGTTGATGACAACTGTGTTTTTAAGTAGTGTTTGAGACTTTCCTACTTCAATTCCGACTATGCTCACAAACACCAAATTGAAGCAAAGATGATCAGCTGGTAGAATTGTTTGATTTTAACTCTGAATAATAATAATAATCCTTGCATTTGATATAGCGCTTTTCACGTCGGGAGGACGTCCCAAAGCACTTCACAGAACACACTGTAAAGTGAATTGACTGTATATTTGTGGGCGAACGCGGCAGCCAATTGCGCACAGCAATGTCCCACAAACAGTCGTAGATTGAAAATGACCAATTTAATTATTGTTTTTAGTTTAGGAGGGATTATTATTAGGCGTGTGGAGTAAGGAAACTTGCCCAAGGTTTCGTCCTACCTGGAATTGAACTCAGGTCTCTCGCTTGCAAAGCAAGTGCTCTAACCACTGAGCTACAGGACTCCACTGGATGTCTGCTCAATCCTAAATCTCACTAGATTCAAAAATCTGTAATGTCATCTGTGATATATACTTTAAATCTGAGTTTCTATCAGTTTCAAATGAAGCGATCAACTATAATAATAATAATACTTATATTTGGTATAGCGCCTTTCACGTTAGAAGACAGTTACAAAGCACTTCACAGGATTTACTGTGAGGTGGAGTGACTCTTTGTAGGCAATATGGTATCCCAATTGCACATGGCAATGTCCCACAAACATCCAAGCAGTGCCATTGAGTGACCAATTTTATTTAGGGGATTATTGTCCAGGGCAACGGAAGAAACTCCCTTCTCCTTTCGAGTAGTGTCGTGGGATCTTTAGGGTCCACATGAACAGGTAGACAGGACCTGATTTAGTGTCTCATTTGAAGGATTGCATCTCTGATAATGTAGTGCTACCCCAGCACTGCATTGGAGTGTAGGTCTTTCTGGACCAAATCCTGAAATGGGACTCAAACGCACAACCTTCTGACTCAAGAGGACTGCCAACTGTGCCAGGCTGATTTACACACTTTATCACATTTGATTTGTTACTTTTCTCCACTGTTGTTATGATCTGTTGATGTTGGGTTTGAAGTGGGAAAGTTGCTTCCATTGTAATTCTGACCTCAGCAAATAAAACAACTTGCATTCATATAGTACCCCTCACACAGGTTGTGTCTCAGAACAGATTGGATCTGACTTGCTCTTGTCTTAACTTTTTTATTTCAAAGGTCACGAAAAGTTTGCTGAAGAATTATTCAGGGATGTATTGCTGCTACCACTTCATTTGTGGATTTTAGTTTCAAGATGCAATGCAGACATTATTCAAGTACATGTATGAGGTTTGGAGCTCTTGAGTCACTATGAGTCAGCGTACCTTTGAGATCTCTTCAAATTGTGCATCAATCCAAAGAAAAGTAAATAACAAACATATAACCCATTACTTGAGAATCCCAGCTGAAGCCTTAACTACCCCACCAAATTGTTTCTGGAATTGCTAGCATTTAAGCTCGATTGTTAGGAATGTATGTGCATCTATATCAATCCAGAATCTGTACAAAATATCAACAAAAAAATATCACATACACACAGATTTTCCTACTTGTGAAACCCTTTCTTTCTTCCTTGGAACTCAGCCCTGTGAGCACAGAAGTTAACAAGCAGTTAACTGACTTTAATATACCGGAGCGTGATAACCTATGGGAAATCTGACATACCATTGATATTCAGTATAATTTTTAAAACCATTTTATGTTCCCAGCACCATCAGGGTCAAATTTGTGAAGCATCTGTGAATCTATCTTGGCATCTCCATTATAATACCAGCTTTTGCTTTAAGATGGTGTTCGAACTACTCATACAAAATTTTGTTAAGGTGCTGTTGAATAAGGATTATTATAACAGTGTGTTTGGGAGTCATCCAAAATTTGTTAAAGACATTGAACCAGCAATATTTATTGTTTACTATGCCATTTTAGTTATGCAATGTGATTTTTTTTGTTGTGGTGTTATTTGAATCATTATCTGCAAATAGACTAAAGTATATTAAGAAATTGATCATGTTTCGATAAAATATAGTTGTTGTGTTTAATTGTATTGATAGGTTGCACATTTTAGGAGCAGGAAAGCATGGAACAAGAGAAAAAAGGAGGCTTAATCCATTGTTTCCACAGATCATGTTCATTTCATTGATCATATTCAAACCTTTTAATTTGTCTGCAGTAAGAATGGTTTCTCACTAAGTATTTATTCCACTCTGCTCTCCCTATTCTTTGTTCACCATCTGTCCTCTACTTAACTCTTCCTTAATTTAATACTCCAATACGTGTGCAGACTTTCTGTACAATTTTGAGGTTTTGATCATTTGAGAGGTTCATAACCCGAAGAAATAGAAAATGGCTAATTAGATCCAATACTGTACATTTTGGGAAGTTCTGATGTATCTTTCCAATGCTGAGATTTTTTGATCACAGAGCTTTTCACTAAATGAAAACTTTTCACTAACAATGGGTCAGTGCCCAGATTTCTTGAGGTGATACTGTTATAAATCAGACATCACCAAACCAATCTGAAACTGAAAGTAACTCAGTTTATTTGTTGCTTTCTGCAGAATGTCAACTAATGAAAACTGAACGGCCAAGGCCAAACACATTCATTATCAGATGTTTGCAATGGACCACTGTGATAGAAAGGACCTTTCATGTGGACACCCCTGAAGAAAGGTGAGAATAATGCTGAAATCTGCAGTACTCACCAAGTCATGATTGTAAATGTTAACAGGTTTAAAATGTGCCAAAGTGATTCACAAATTGTATCTATTGGTGTTTCAATTTTGATTACATCTTCTGTTTGATAAAGGTAAATTGAATCCTATTTCAGTCTGTAATTTTGAAACTGAACATTTTCAACATCTCAGCTCAGATGTTTTTTTCAAGTCATCCTGTTTGGATGAAGGAATAAAAAAACTGTCTCCATGTATTTTCTTTAAATGACAGTGACTAGAATTGCTTGGGTCTGATTTCAGTTCCATAATTGTTCGGAGTTTAAACTGACCCAACCCAATTACAACACTCTTATAGCTGTGTTGCCTAGGTGATTTATGTTTTCTGTTCAAATAAAGTGTATTTTTTTTTTAAAAAGCTAGAATATGTATTTTGAAATCAAAATTTTGATTCTTGCATTGCCTGAATAGTTTTATCACATGATTTCCTATGCTGCGTAATGTACTGAAGGTTTAATAGAAAAACTTTCCAACATTTAAATACATGCTGTTATAATTTATTTGTATAGCAATTTCCCAGCATTTAGATGCTGTAATAGTAGCATAACAGGAAATTATTCTTTCTTAATTTAAACTTTATATTTGATAATAATAATAATCCTTGCATTTGATATAGCACTTTTCACGTCTTCTAGACGTCTCAAAGCGCTTACAGAATATGCTGTAAAGTGTATATTTGTGGGCGAAACGCGGTAGCCAATTGCGCACAGCAGTGTCCCACAAACAGTCGTGGATTGAAAATGACCAATTTATTGTTGTTTTTGTTTTTGGAGGGATTATTATTAGACGTGTGGAGTAAGGAAACTTGCCCAAGGCTTCGCCCTGCCTTGATGTATATTATATATAAATTTCATGTGTTTAAATTAATTTTCTCATGCAAAAATCCTTTTGACGTGGCTTTATTGTAATTGTAATTCAGCATTTCAATTCATGTGCCAATAAATAAAATACAGCACATTAGTCTGACTATAAACTTTTGAACATCATTTTAACTTACTCCACACCAGGTTTTAAATTGTGCAAAGTTTAGAAATTATTATCGAAAATAATGGGTCATGGGAAGGGCTGCAGAAATCTACAGATATTTGTGATCCTGTTTCTTCCTCGTACAATATTACTGCATTGAAAACGAATGCTTACCAATCCATTTTACCGAGTAAAACCACTCTATACACCTTAGAAAAATGTTTGACCGATTCCAATACATGGGTATGACTGCTGGCATTAAAGAACAATGGGAATGCTGTTGAAGTAGACTTTGATAAAGTTGAATGAGTCATTCAAACCTTTGTTACCTCCTGACTTGACTTCTGAAAAGCATTCCTTGCCAGCCTCCCAGTTCCATCATTCATAAGCTCCAGTGATACAAGCCCCACTACCTGTTCCTCATTCTCACCAAACCCCACATGCACATCACCCCAGTCCCTGGCTGGCTCCACCGGTTCCTTGTGATCCAATAGATTGACCAAGGTTCTCACCCTCACATATAAATCTGTTCATGTTGCAGTAATTTCCTAACTCTGTGATTTTATCCAACCTACTCTTCTGTTCGTCCTCTCTGCTAAGCTAACTGAGGCCTGCTACATGTCCCTCTCTGTGCCAGCATTGGTGGCAAAGATTTTAGTAATGTCCCTCCCTCCCTCTAGCGTTTCATCTCATCCCCTCTATATGTCTTCTTGCTTTAAAAAAACTTGTCTCTTCAACTACTCCTACAAACGGCTCCACCCTACCCCTGCCCTCTATCTTCCTTCAGGTCCAACACAATCTTTCTGAAGTGCTCTGACACATTATGTTATATAAGGGTGCTGAATAAGTGCAAGTTGTATTTCTTTCATAATTTTTTAAACCTGTCAAAGAATCCTATTTTGTTGCCCTGGTGTGAATACCCAGTAAAGTTATTTTTTTGAAATGAGAAGTGCATGTGCATGCGTATGCTTTGTGAATCCATTTTGAAAGGATGGGGAAGAGGATGTCCTTAAATGCCTAGAAAACAAGTTTGCTTCTTGAAGGCTTAAGATTTTTCAGGTTCTTGATGGATATTCCAGATGTCTCAAAATTAATGTTTGCAGTTGTAGATTGACACGTTTTGTGTAATTTGGGGCAGCAATGGGATGGTTGTGAAGAGAGAGAATCTGGAAGCCTAATTATTTTATTTTGAGTGTTGCTGATCTATATTTAAATCAGATGTCTGGGTTCCTCTGATGACCCAGGCGACTACAACAACAACAAATTGCATTTCAAAGTATGATCTCAACTACTGGTAGCTGGTAGTTTCAAGACTGGGTCTTATGTTTCAATAGTTGTTGTTCCAACTTCACATATTCTTCCTGGAGTATTAAGCCTTTCCTTGGTAAAATTAAAAAAAACTTGGCTGTATGTAGCCACAATAACTTCTTACAAGTATTGGACTTTAGGAAACGAAGAGAGACAAATGCTCCAAAGTGTACGGAGAGGCTTGATCTTGTAATCTTGTGTAGACTAGTCTAACCAAGAAATTTCTTGTTCTGTATGAACCTAGATGATTGGTGTCAATAGGCTATTTTTGGTCAGCTATTCGAACATGGAAAACATTGATATCAAACATAATCACCTGATATCCGTACGTGCAACCTTCCTATTTACTAGATTGTGATTTAGACATGTCTTCCTAATGGCTGGAGACAATGAGACAAATTCTGTAAAGTTTAATGTCTTTATTGTTGCTTTGGCTGCGTTCAGTTATCTCAATACAAACCAGTATAATACAATACAATTTACATTGAGAGTATGTCTCAAAGCACTTGATTTAACACTGCTGGCTGAGAACATGAGCTGGCAGTGGGGAGAGAAAAGATGACCAAAAGAGCAACCAAAGAGTTGGATCTTGGGGTGAGGGAGGGAGAGAGTCGGAGAAATTCTGGGATGCATTTCCAGAAAGAAGGGCAGAATGGCTGAAAGCTCACCTGCCGATGGTGGGGCAGAAAGGGTGGGGGACATGAAGTAAGCCAGTGATCGCTGAGCCCAGGGAGCGGTCGGGTCAGTAGGATTGATGGAGAGTGCAGAACAAGGGTGGGGCGAGGCCAAAAAGGGATTTAAAGGTGAGAACAAAGATCTTAAAATTGCTCTGCGGGATGGAAGCAGTAGGTAATAGGTTGCAGAGTCTGGTGGTGGCAAGTTCTGGATAGTCTGAAGCTTGTGTAGGGAAGAGCTGGGGAGTCTAGCCTAGTCAAACCTGCTTTGTGTTATCTGCTCTATATTACTATTGTACCACATGGCACTTTTACCCACGGATCCATCAAGGAAGAATGACTAGACCATTTTTGATCTGAAACACTTTCTCAAACATATGTACCATCAGAAATCAACAATTTTCAGATTTATAGGCAGCTAAAAGACTTATCATCACAAGCTCAGATATACACAACTCTCCTTTTCTTTATTTGGCAGCGTATTACTGATAGTTGGACTCTGGATTCTGAGAACCTTTGTCATCAGAAGTTAAGTTACCAAAGAGAGTTTCTCTTCTGTTTATGTTCTCATTCATTTTCAAAAGTTCCAACTGACCCTCTATTTACAGCAGTTATAATCTTTATAACCTGTTGGATATGGAGATTACTCTTCACCTCTTCAAAAAGTCACAATATTTTCTAGAGCACTGATTCAGCGAGATTAATGATTTTAGATGGATCTCTTCCTTCATCTTTTAGAAAGACTAGTGCACCTATCATCATACTTGAAAAAATAGTTTCCTCTTTGCTTCCTTTGATGGTTGCTTCTTTTGATGGTTCCTTCCTTTGAATGATCCGGTTATGTGTTGCTAATATTAGTACTTTCCACATAAGAGGATATTGTTAAATCATGCCTTTAAACACCATCTACAAAAGTGATTAAATCCTGTCAGATGAATTCATCTTCAGTATTTGTTTCCAGAATAAACCTGGAAGTAACTTCACTCAGAGGGTAGGCGTGCAAGTTGGTTACTAGGTACTTCAAACCATTGCAATAAGAGACTGACCATATCATTAATGTCTTGTAGTTGCTTCATGTTCAAAAGGTGCTTATTATATTCAAATAATTTTTAATCAAAATTTGCTGTCAAAATTTGAAAGGTAACGGCCATTATATCCAAGAAAACAGGAAAGTAGAAAGTCTGAAGATATTTGAGGGCCCCTAGAGGCATATCACAGTTATTACAACTATTTGGTAACAAGATGGTATTGCTGCATTTCTTCATGGGCAAAATATTTACTGTGTTTCTTTTTCCCCTTGCCCCACCCGCTGAAAGACTAAATGCTACACGTAGGTTTTCAAAAGAGAGCAGCCCTTTACTTATATACTCAGGAAGCGGATTTTTTCTTTTACAAAAATAATTCTTTGCATCATCAGATAATTACTATTTTCTGAGGTGGAATCACACCATATGCTCTGTTGCTATTGTGACACCAGGATAATCTGTTCCTTCCTGCCTTTTGCATTCATTGCACAGATTCTGAAGAATAAAATGGCAATGGACAGCTCATCCTCGTTTTCCCTTTCTGGCCCGTGCAGATACGGTTCTGAGACTTAAATACCCTAATTATTAGTACAACTTGGATACTTCCCAAGAAAGTGGATTTGCTATCAACCATCTGTTTTGCCTGTGCTCAGTATTAGTTAGCACTTATTGGGGTGTAAGAATCAGTTAACAACTTTTGTGGTCCTTCCCTTTACAACAGAACTTTCGCTTAATAAATGGCTTGTCCGCTTGCAGTTTTATGGGCAGAAACTTTTAAGAAAGTTGACCACAACAAAAGAAAGAAGTGAACTTTGTTAGGTATATTTGGGTTGTTGTAGTTAGTCATCTTCTGCTGGAGAGGAGAGGGAATAGCCAGATGGAATGCAATTGCATGGATTGCATATTTTCTGATCCTGTAGGGTGTGTTCTTATGTAATTAACCGCATCCTTCTGGCATGGGATCTCCT